TGTTTTCTCCGCTGTCATAATCATCCCGGTTAATCGCGCAACTTCGAGCCCGTGCCCGGAATGATGAGTGCGTCTACTCGAGGAGTCGTTAACCCAATTGATCGACGCTGCGAAGAGCCCACCGGTCCGCACTTTCACCGAAAAACGCGCGAGTGCTTTTACTCTCGCGGCCTGAAATCCCCGGGCGAAAATTAAGCCCGCGACCTCGATACTCTCGTCGCCGTCGTCATCGTCGTCGTCGTCGTCGCGCACGCGTTAACTTGAATATGCATGCGAATTCCATCCTGTTTACAACCGAGTATCTGGCAAGCTCAACGGCGGCGACCGATCGTCACGAGTGACACAGATATTTTCTCAACTTCTAAAAGGCACCTACCGGCCAAGCGAACGCGCCGCGCGTATCGCGAACCGGTATATCTCTCTCTTTTCTTAAACAGCAAGCAATTCCACCCCAGGCACGAAAACAAATCGTTGCGCAACGCCGAGTAAAGTTATTACCGCATAGGCATTAAATCCGACGTTGAAACAGCGTTAGTCAGCGAGGTGCGGTCTTCTAACTCGGTAAGGATAGAAATCGATTAAGAACCGATTCCGAGCTCGGAAGTGCCCCCACTCTTCGTGTCATGTAGCCGATGTAGCGATCCGAAGCTCGCGCTTGAAAACAAATCATTGCGTAACGAGGATTAAAATTATTCTCACAGTGACATCAGATCGGCATAATGGCTTCCGAGCCGGCAGCCAGTTCGAACCGATTCCGAGTTCGAGAGTTCAGAACCGGTCTCCCCGTCAAGTAGCAATTTTGCTTCGCCAGCTCGCGATCGCAAAAACATATCGTTACGTAATCGCGAGTGTAGCTATTCCCGCCCAACATTGTTTACCTCCGCTCGCGGAAAAACCACTTGTGTTTTTAACATTCAAAACTTAATATCTGCGTCGTGCAATTCCAATGTATTAATGATAAAAGAATTTAAATTAATTATGCAAGCAATCGTGCGATGGTAGATAATAGTAGTTTGTACAATGATTTAAATGCCGTGCCATTGTCACGACTACCTGCGCTAAAAGTGTTGACTTGTCGTTCGCGCTGTTAGAAATAACCGTTTGCACAAGAACATTAGAAGTACATTAGGAAACTACAGTTTGTATATACATGCAAAGCGTACGAAGTACGCGTGGCCTGTTTTCCTCAAACTTCTATAACGACTTTGTGTGCATAAAAGTGAATAACCGCATCTAGCGACACTCGCTCGAGAGTGTCACGCTATTAGGATACGTGTGCTTGGAACTATTTATATAAGAGACGAGAGATAATGCGATAGGACGACGGTGCAACCCGACATCTTCACTTAGCAATTTGTGGGCGATTAATTGAAAAAAAATTTATTGCTGCATTAGATATTAAAATTATTGAATTTACTATAATTAGCAATATATAAAGCTTCAAATCTACACAGAGAAAAATTTCCATTGGATAAACCACTTAAATAGTATTTCCGATGGTTAATTTTCCCCGATTATGTTTTCCAATGAAAAGATGAAATGCAGTTATCGATGAAATTTTATCGAAAAATCGATCATATTTTTCAATTTATCGGCGATTAATGGACAAAAATTAATTGCTGCATTACAAATTATTGAATTTTCTATAATTAGCAATATACATATGAAGCTTCAAGTCTACACAGAGAAAAATTTCCATCGGGTAAGCCAATTAAATAGTGTTTCCGATGGTTAATGTTTCCGATAAAATGATGAAATTTTATCGAAAAATCGATCACATTTTTCACTTTATCGGCAATTAATGGGAAAAACTAATTGTTACATTAAAAATTATTGAATTTTCTATAATTAACAATATATGAAGTTTCAAGTCTACACTGAGAAAAACTTCCAAGGGATAAACCAATGAAAGTGTTTCCGATGGTTAATTTTTCCGATTAAATTATGTTTATAACTGATGAAATGCAGTTACCGATGAAATTTTATCGAAAAACCGATCATATTTTTCATCGAATGTGTTATACAATTTAATCGGACATTTTTCTCAATGTACGTTTTCTGGTTTTCTTTTTAAGAGTAAAATGCGATTTCTTAGCAACTGTAACTGTGATCTTAATTTCTTTGTGTGTATCTTCTTAGCGGTATTATCTTGTTAACCCCGATGTCGCCGAGACAACGTGTTACACCATCCAGAGTTAGATACGCGTGAAAATACTCGATCGGACGGTGAACGATCGACGACCTCATTGGCCGACGACACTTTACACCTGCAAATGCAACAGTCACATGCGAGCAGCACGCGGCGGACACCAATAGAATGTTCACCCCGGACGCTAACTGAGCGCTAATGACACTCGATTTAATCACAGGCATATATTATATACATATATGTGTACATATACGTATGCAAATGTATATTAATTATACCCGATATCCGCCGTAGTCTACGCGCAGTCTGTTGACAGAGCGTCTAAATTATATCCGATACACTGCTTAAGTAAATAGACGATAAGTGGCGGAGATTGCTTTTAATCGCGAGTTTATTCATATTAGATGATATAGTTTTAAGTACTCAAATTGAATTATCGTTGTTATACCCGACGATAACGAGAGACTTCGTTCACCACTAATTTCGTTCAGCTATTTATAGTTACGTCGTATTCAGTCTAATCTGCGAACGTGAATTATGTACATGTGTCACGGGAGGAAAATTAGCGTTTTACTTACGAATTACTCCTGCCGTTCATTCTCTCGTGTAACAAAGGTGTACGGATCATTATTTCCCCTTTTCCACTCCGGGATCCGGCAACACGCGACTACGAAATGCAATCTAATAAAGCCGCTTTATCGCCGCGTAACGCACCGTGCTTGCGGTACAGTGCAAAAGTCAGTGTGCAGCTATGCCGGAACACGGGCTACAATTTGAATGTTGCACGGCGTCATTTGCATGTCAAAGGAGAGTACAGTCGATTATGCTACCTGGTGCGGACGCGCGGTAGCAATATGATCGCACGAAGGTCGTAACCAGAACACGCGGAATTACGCACACGTGATTCTCGTATTCGACTCGAACGTGAACGGAACCCCTTCCCTCCCCGCCCCCCTCCACCCTTTCCCCCCTGCTGATCCGAGTCCAAATATAAACCCACGTGCCAGCATGTGAAAATTGGGCCTCGTATGCCGGAACGGATGAATAAACGCGTGCAATTTTCGACGGCGAGAAGTTCGACGACCGCTGAAATTGGATAATGAGCGATGCCGCGGTAAAATTGAAGAGAATCGTTCTTCGAGCTGAATTACGCAACAACGCCGTAATGACGATTACGCGGAGGAGCGGCGACGGTCCCATCAGAACTGAGAAAGAGTACGAGGAGAAGGAAAAATTTAATTGACGGTGATTAACTTAGATTTTGACGTAGTGCCTTGTTGTTTTCCCGATTTCTACGCGGAAAGAATTTTCCCTTAAAGTTTACTCTGAAAATCGTGTGATCGTGGGACAGCATGGCGTTTTGAACAAGTTTATGAAAGTTTTTTGAAATTTTGCCATACATTGTAAAAGCTACGGTATAATTTCAAACTCTCATAAAGTTCTTCAAAATGCCACGTTGTACTATGATTTTCAGGGCAAATTTTAAAAGAAAATTCTCTCCGTGTGGGATTTCACGTGGTTGCCTATCACCGATCAAGAATAATGACACGCGAAATTAAGCTATTTCTGTAATGCGATTTTAATTGCCCATTACTGCATCAAGAAGAATGAAGCAAGTGTGTGTCAAGTTATCGGCATGTATATAAAAGGAAACATACCTAGAACCGATTCTTTATCATCAGGGCATATATGTATAACGATGACCTAATAAATCGATATGATAGCATGTAATTAGGACAGCTATTACGTGACGTTCCTCGCAAACGCCCGTATACAATTCCTCGGAACAGGTGGCCCTATCGCCGACACGAGATGACTGACATTCCTCGGATATTCGCAACTGCGAACGTGACTCTGCGGTACATTCTTTCGCGAATCTCGTTTTACGTAAAAATTCAATATAAATGAAGGCACGGGAAGATCCGAAGAATCCGCCCGAAGAAAAATGAACTCGGGAAGAGAAGAGCAACAATAGGTTGCGCGGCTTGATATTTTACCATTCTCGAGACGCGGATTGATTACTTTTGCATTGATATCATCTACCATCGTTTCTCTTTCCACTTTTTCCTTAATTTTTTAAACAAAGATAGAGATTAGTTTCGACTGATAAAATTTATAATAATCTATAAGTAATAATCCTCAAGACTATTTTAAAATTCAATGCACAAGTAACAACGCACGTGATAGTAATCCGTAATGTACTGAAACAATGTCAGGTGCCTCTGTAAAAACCTTCGATAAAAAAAAAAAGTAATGGAGCATAGCTCCAAACCCAACATTAACTGATCGATCAGATACGAGTTATTATGTACAGTAAGTTTTCTAATAAGTCGAGGTACGTCAGCGTAACATAAAAATTACGAAGATCGAAGAGCTAAGACCTAATATCGCGTTAATTCGAGGCGTTATTAACGGCGCAAAAATAGAAAGATGATAAGGTAAACGGTAGATAAGTCGGAGTCGTTAGAACTTTTTGCATTCTCATTACCTGCATCGCGTTGACTCGCCACTTTATGATAATAGTCACGTAGGAATGCAATTTTCCGTGCAAAATTAACGTTGTAATTTTTATGTATCTGTAAAAACGTTTCTCTTTGTCTATATTTAAACCGCGCGGTCTATACTTGACGCAGTACGGTTGTCGCCTATCGAATCATTGTCATCAGTACGTAGAGCTTTTTCTAAACTCATCGATCACGCGTGCCGACAGCAATTATTGTACGTACAGACTTGAGATTTATACGGAAATATATGCTGCGATTGATTTTGCTACATTTCACGAGGATTACATGTATATATCTCTTGTAAAAATTTGTGTGTTGTTAGAATGCCATCTTTATTGTGGACTCACCTTTTCGTCGAGGTTGTTCAGATCCGGCAGCTGAAAAAGAAAACACAAATTGTATCAGTAAATTAGGAAAATTATAATATACAAACGTAATTTATATTTGAATCGACGTATTTGAAATTCGAGTCAGAGCGAAATCAAATTATTAGCCGCGTTAAATAATTTCGCGTCCAACAATCGCGATATCAGAAGGAAGAATTATCTCACCGGTCGACGAGGCGTGTTATTAAAATTAACGAGCTCAAGATATTAAATTTTAATTAATGTAAAGCCAAAAATTATCATTTTTAATTAAATGTTAATTAGTGCAAAACCAGATAGGATGCTTAATCTCACAACCAGATGCAACATTGTCGATTGATGCAGCAAAAGTACAATACTCGAAATAACAATTAACAATTCATAATAAGACCGATATACAATATAAATGTCGAACCCAGAGAGGGACCCTCGCGGGAGGACGTCGAGAAAAGAGGCGGCTCATACGCCACCTACCCAAGTCATTTCGAAATGATATCTCCGGCTTTACCGACGACACAGCCAGTCAACATCGATCCGCGCGTGTACGAGAGGGAAAACGCTTTGGCCGCCGCCGGCGAGGCGCCCGGCAACGTCGGCAGATGCCGCCTAGCGTCGTAAAATTGTGAGATCCCTCGCAAATTGAAGGAAATTGATGCCAATTTGTATCAATCAGCCGTCGCGGCTGGTTACATTCTCGCGAGCTCTGCACACAACGTGTTGGGATTAATTTAATACCCGATGCGTCGGACTGCTTGATTAACTTTCATGGTCGTCCGTACGTGCTCCGAAAGAGAAAAGGATGCACACGCCGGGGCCCTACATAACATTTTCTGCGGAAATCGATTTATCTGACACGTAATATAAAATGCGAGTACATGTCGCGGGGAACGAGAAAAATTAATATCGCCGAATTTATCCCGCACCGTTGAACGGGAGCTCACGAGAGAGCTTTAAAAGGAATCGAAACAAATACTTAAAATAATCAGACTGCTCTCTCTCTCTCTCCCTTTTTCCTCAATCCAATGTAATTTTGTCAATGTAACATACCTAACGCGATAAAAAAGAAGAATTTAATAAATAAGTAATCAAACAGGCTCGCGTTTTTACAAAATCATATAGGAAAAAGCCGATAATAGAACGAGCTACAAAAAGGTCGCAAAAATAAAATAAAGACTAATCCATTACATTTAATATGATAGATGGAAACACAATAGTTTTACAAAAGATTAAAAATATATAACGAACGTTCCTCGTTTTTCGATCAGCTAAAAAAATGTGTGTATATTACAATTAATGATTTACTTTAAAATGGAAACAGTTAATCAATGCGTGTGACGACAATTAATCTTATAATATAAAAATTCTTCCGGCACCTTTCTATACCGGAAGACCGGGCCACCGCTAATTCCTTACTCTATGGGATAAAATAACCGTGGTCCGGGATTCATATTGAAGTGCGGATGCCGCGGGATGAATTGATCCGGCCGGTGGATCGGATTATCGAGAGAGCTCGGCTATCGATTAAAGTTCTCGGCGGTCCTTTTATGCCGCCTCCTCTCGTCCATCCGGACAATATCGAAACCGCTGACCGAGGACGGTCAGCGGAATCCGTCGCCGCTCCAGTAAATGTGTAATCGCGCATAAATCAGAGCGCGGGGAAGGAGCGTCGTCGGCGCCGCGCGATGCATATTTATGCGCCCGCAGCACCGAGAAATTAAATTCACACATTTCATCGGCCCTATAAAGCATGCGCATATTTCGTACGACGGGGAACGCTGAGAATGCAAGTCGCGGGAGGGGAGGGCGGGAACGAAAGGGACCCAGGATCCGGAAGAGATTCGTGCCTCCCGTGATCTCTTCCATTGTCCGCGCATACTAATTGGATTGCCTTCATTAAGACATTCGCGAGCGTGGGCGTTGCGCGACGGATTCGTTAACGATTCAACGCGGCGCGGGGCGATGCGAAATTTTTCTACAGTCCATATATCTTCTCGCTACGGCACCACGACAGTCGTATCCCGGATTGCGGTGGGCGAGACGCGCGAATGTCTTATATTTATTCATAAGATCCAGATTATATACGAGATACGACACGCCGAATAATTCGGTCAGGGGAAGGTAAACCGAGCAATATTTCAAATATGAAACATTGCATCTACCTCTTATCGATTTGATTAATTGCAATTTTTTGGAAAACAAGACCGACTTTTCTTAATCTCGTCAAATTATTGCGTTAACGGAAAATTGAGCTTTAACCGAACTCACATATTTTTCTTATAAAATTTTAATAATTTGTGTAATCACGTAATTATAAAATATCGTAGTTTTATGAAATTATAATTTGCAGTTTCATAATTATTCAGTTTGCACGGTGAACACGCGTAATGTAATATATTACCAAGATCTTTGCTGAGATTTTTGCACGCTTCCGATCGACTGAGCGCTCGCCATTGTCGGTCTACTGTGATCCATTTCCACACGTCTTCGCATGCCATCGTGTGCGCGAGATTGAAGATTGGGAAATAGTTTAATGAACCGTAAGTAGGTAATTGTGTGTGCATGCGTCTTGCACGGTCTGTTCCCGGATAATATCTATCAATGAATACGGCTCTATTCTGGAAAATAAGTCGAAAGAGGGCGCGTCTTAAAATAAAACCCGTAAAAAAACTGTAGGTCGATCATCTTTAACACTGTCTAGTTTCCAATAAAACTCACTATATCAATCACAACGAAATTTATAAAATTATATTTAATAATCAAATATTTTAGAACAATTCTAAAAAGGATTATTAAAAAATATACCGCAGATGTCATATATTTAATATAGACGTAATAATTAAGCGAAGATGTATTCAGATAAATGATCAAGTGTATATTCGTGGAGTTTCCGTAACAATTCTCTTCGAGAATAATTTGCAACGAATAACAAGCCGCTGACGCGGAAATAATGGCTCTATCTTGTTTGCGTTTTATTAGAAACATAAACAAATAGCACGTTGTTGATTATGCATTCTCGCGGTCTATGGCATCCTATGCATAATCGCGCTTATATACACGGTTTACGCCGAAATCTCGTATGCGCACACAATTTGTTGCAACAGCATTGTCGGCCGCTTGACGACAGCACTTTACCACGCGTGCGATTTACGCGACGAATAAACTTTGATTTACCGGCACTATTTCGCCGAACAGAATTTTTGCCCGTGCGTCCGCACAACGTGGAGAGAAAAAAAAAGACCGACTCTGTCCGCCGCGCTATACAGCGCCGTAATGTTGAGTAATCCATCGATTAGACTCGCCTTTTCACGACTACTTGATAAAATTAGCGTCCTTGTGTATTTTATCTCGCGACCATTATCTCGCAATTTGAAAATTTCCTCGATATCTTTACTCGTTCCAAGAATACTTTTACTCGCAAGCTTGGAAAATTTAGCACCTCCGCTGGTCGCGTTATGGCCAAGTAACTGCATCTTTACACCTCTACCGTTGTAAATGGCAACGAACAATTTCGAGCGATACGATATGAAGTATTTCGTCTGCAGAATATTTTACGAGTTAATGTTGCAAAGATAGTACTAGACGGTTATTCGGGAATAAATGCACCTTTAAACGAGTCGAATGGTAAATTATATTGTACGTCTTTCAATAATTTCGCGCCAGCTGCCGAATACCAACGCGATAATTAACGAAAGAGACCGACAACGTCGAAAATACAATACTAATCGCATTATTTTACATATACATATTATTGAATCCTCCAATTGTATGAATTATTTTACTTCTATTTCGTCAAATTATAATAATTATGTGACAATTATTTCTGAACGTGTATCCACTGGCTTATAATCGTTACGCTCGTCGCGAATTTCTCTCTTATTTCGACATTTTCGAACAGCATTGTCGATTAAATATCCAAAATCTCGACGAGCGGTTGTAGTCTTCCGTGAAATTGCACGAAGTGCAGTACCGTTGCAGGTTAAGGAGACGAGTTGGAGGGAGAGTCTCTTTAGTATTACCAGCCTCTTTCGGAGCAGAACCTCCTTCGTTTCAGCATTCGCCGATACTCTTTGCACGAGTGAGCGAGAGAGACAGAGAGCAAGTTGCCCGCACATGTAAGCCGGTAGAAACTGGCTCTTCCTTTGAGGTTCGTTCTCTCGGTCTTGCCGAACGAAAAAATTTACCGCGAGCCTCTCTCGTCTCGTCGAAATTTATTTCAACTCGCCTCCCGCGAAGCTCTCATCCATCTTTCCGGTCCGTAAAGTAGAACTCGAGGTACGTTTCAAGAGTCGCACCGACCGACGGACGTAAATTCGCGCGAGCACGCAAGACCACGCGTAACGAATTTACGGCCACCGACAAACGGAAGACGTTCATATAACGGTGATGGTCCCCGGACCAATACCGGCAATAGCGTGCAAGAAACCAGAGAAATATGAAAAGCCTAGACGGATTTGCAAAGGGAAGTTCGGCCGCAAACTTCAAATCCCTTGCTGGTAGCACACTAGTAAAAGAGAGAAGTGCACATATGTCGAGTGAAAGCCGGTACACTAATTTGTTGATATTTAAAAAATTTAGATATATATAACGTGTATTATATTCAAAATTAAATGAAAGTAGTTAACATTTAAATAAATTCGTGTAAACTTCTTATCCAACGTAAAATTCATTATAATTAAAAAGATTATAGAAATGATGCTGCGAGATTACCGAAGTAACATTCGTTCGAAAGAGAATATTATTTTGTAAAATTTCATTCGAAAAAGAGACAAGTAGGTATCGCGCGTGGAGAGATTTTATAAATTTCAGTAATAATGTGGCACCTTCTCACAAGCAACATCCAAACGACGACGCGAATTGTGTAGGATACAGCGTACTTTACCGACAATATTACTTGAAAATAAAAGCAGCACGAGAATCCGCATACTTAAGTCGCGTAACGGTACGACGGTTTTATTGTCGCGTCGACGTCATCTCTAAAAGAATCTATTTCTCGCGCTCGAGACTGTTATATCGTAAGTATCCGATACTGGTGCAAGGTACGAGAGTGCCATCGCTACATAATGTAACGGTGCCAGCTTACGACGAATATTCGCGATGCACGAACGATCAGATGTTCGACGAGCGATTACGTTACAGACGCGATTACTGCCGGCATTCTTTAACGACAGCTCATCAGGCGTTTCTTTGGAGAACGGTGGACGGAGTATCCTCCGAGAGTTCAAAGTCTCGACAACTTCGTCTTGCTGCTATTGACGTCAACTGCTGCTATTGATAAGTTAGTTGGAAATTTTCGAGACATCGTTTCCTTAATGCAAACTTGATGAGGCATATTTTGGTGGAATGTCTTACATAACGCACAAACTGCAGACTGTTGTACATCTAGCTTTAAATCGATCACTTGGATATATCGTGAGAGAAAATAATGCTCGATAGAGATATAATTTAGCGGGGTAAATCTGCTGCATGCGTAATACACGTGAATCTAATAAATTAGTGAAATTTAAAATCCCTATTCCGGCTACTCTGCTCTTTATTCTTTCATCTTCTTTTGCATTATTTATATCTCGCAGCCAATCGGGTATATATGTGTACATCGGTCTTTACACATTTATACCGTGGAAAATTATAAAAATTATTTAGTACTTTAAACTTTTTCTCCTCCCGATTACCATTATTATTCCAAAGTTCTCACTCGATAACCGTGTTTTATCTCGCAAAAGTGGCATTTGGGCATTAGAGAATTAAAAAGAAAAAGAAATAAAGTTACACGCGGATATTGAAAGTGTGCTATGCACAAAAAGTGACGGCTTATCCGCCATGCGAGGCTGCCTCTTCGGCCGTCGCTTCGCGACGTCGACGGAATATAAATGACAGGAATATTCTGTGCGATCAAGTTGTTTCGAGTTCACCGACGACTTTAGTAGTACGAGCAGGATATTATAGCCGTTCCCTCCTCTATAATCTCGCTTATGTCCGCGTGGTCTTGCGAATTTGTAGCCGGCTGTTACTCGGCTCTTAATCTAAAATCTAACGATACAGCGAGGTTCATAAAACGGCTAGGATAAATCTGCAGTAGCACAGCTGCCGTACGGGACCATTAAATCTTAACAGCAGTTGGTGTAACCAGCGGTTTCTCGGATAGGGAGGAGACGGAAGGGAAGAGTGAATCGCTTGTGCCTCGATGCCACCTGTAGCAAGTGTAGGTTGAATCAATCACCTGCCAACGACGGGCAAATACGGGATTTCTACTTACTTATTATTTTATCACCTTTCTCCTCCATATATCAAGGACTTAAAATTCATTGTGTAGATAATTTAATCGATATAAAATGCTTACAAAATTTAGATTACGTAATATCTAGCAAAATATAATTATGTTGAATTTTGTACCGTTACAAGATCGACACGTACGTCTTACACATACAACTAACTCTTGCTCACCTATACAATTACAAAAAAAAATCAGTCAAATATTCTCGTTACTCACAACATTGAAAATCTTGGATATAACATCCAAACATCAATATCACTTGTCTCGTTTATTAAATACTACAACTTATTCTAAAAAATATCCAGTGCTTGCTACTCTTCGAACGAGTCTCTAGCTCGCTGTTGTAAATACTTGCTCCATCATGCATTAACTCAGAATTCTTCTCGACGCATTCAAATCTCGTAACAAATTGTGTTGTGTCATAAATTCCAAAAATTTGTAGTAAATAAAATCGATAAGAATAACCTTATGGATCGTCGTATCAATCTGCAATTACAAATTCTATTTATAACCATAACAATGAAACCTACCACTCTCTCTATCCTGATTCTTCGATTGAGCAAAAGTGCACAACACTCTTATCTCATGCAATTTTAGATGTCTTTCCTTATGACATCTAAAATGAACAATGTTCGAACGGGAAGCGAGTCTTTCCTCCAATCAAAAAAATGCCCGAAAGTATTACAGTATCAATGACTATGGATACTGCGATATTATGTTACAATAATATCGTAACTCCTTGCGCACATCCGACTCAAGAATTTGCGTCACAACCATCGGTAGCCATGGTTGTTGGTAACCGGTGAGCGACTATCGGGATATTCTCAGCAGCGTAAGAGCACACGGATACCAATACCCGTAGCACACTCGTAGTCGAAAATCAATCGAAGGATGATGTTGCCGATGCGAACCTTTCGAGCGACGACGTCCCGCCGTGATCGACGATAGAGGCGGAGCGATTTAACCCCCGATCAGAAGCCAAGGCAAGAGGATGGTAACGCAGAGCGCCGCCACGCAACTGGACAGCATCGCCAGGGGACTTGCGGCCGTTTCCATTTCCATGCTCTCCACGCCGTAATCCTCATCGGGCACGAACTCGCGTATTTCGACGTCGCAACGAAAACACACGCGTGCGGTGCTGCTCTTGAAGTGAGATCCGTCCTTGCGCAACACCTGCGCCCCCGAGCCCTTACGCTCCAGCTTCCAGCCGGGCTCCTGCATTAGCATCATCTTATAGTCTCGCGTCAAATTCGAGTGTTTCACGATCAAAGAGTCACGCTTCGGCAGCACTTCGGCACCGCTTCGGTTCTCGTTAGATTCGCAGATCCAAACTCGAAGATCGCGCGATTTCAGTTTACGAGAGACGGAAATACGTTTCTTGCGGAGAAACAGTTGGTTTAATTGGTTTCCGAAGCTGCGCGTCGCTCCTACGAAGACAATATCTTCGCCAGCACCGCCGTTGTCTGTTGGAAGATATACTGTCGATACCTGCAAAGGAAAGTTCTAGCATAAATCGGTGAATTGTGCGCCGCACAGCACGACTTTAATAACAAGATCGATCGCACACGATGGCTGAAAGGGGCGTCATCTACGTGACGAAAAGTTTTTATTAAGTTATCATATCAGAAAATTTCTTCTCGTTTTCTTGTTCGATTAGTGACGGATCTATAATCATTGGCTGCTGGATGTCATTGCAGATTTACTTTTGCAATACGCGCGATATTTTTAACTCAAACTTTATTTCATGTCACTAGACATAACGATTTATTAAAGATTTTAAGTATCCTTCTATCTCTTGTTATTTTATTCCCATCTCTTGTGTTACATGCGCTTTTTGTTCGAGCATACAAATGGATAGAGCTACTGTAGAGTTTCTAAACCCCCGCAACCACGGCTTATCAAACGTGTCACGTTTTACAAATGCATTACAGCTCCGAGCAAAAAGCTAGAAACCGTTCGTCGTAGTTCGTCGGTGGCTCATCGGCTTCCTGCCGGCAGGAACGAGTATTAATCGAAGCAACTTCGACAACTTCGCGACAGTTTCCGGCAGTGAGATCGCGGGTAGCGTGGCACTGTTAATACGGGCCTCGGTCGATCGCCACATTGCAAACATATATTCATGATCACGAGTAATCTCGTAAATGTACCGAAAAACGACCAAACAAAAATCCGGCCAAATTCAGCATCGAGAACAATAAATTATAGCGAAATTGCAAATAACAATCCGCTTTTATTCGATATAATGGAAAAGTACATTTTACCCATTTTAGCACAATTCTCTAGATAAATATCGTAATTATTCTCAAATAATTATGGCTCGTGTACGAGATAGCGCATAATTTTCAATAATAAAAATATCATTGTAACAAATTTCTCGCATTTACAAAAGCCAATAAAGATTCGCTCACTATTAAAGACCCTTTTTATCATCGAGAAAAGATGTTATCACGAGCTTTCCGATATCAGTGCAATTAATTTAATCCCGTCTTTTAATTAGATAAAACACAATACATCCATTAAACATTTACACGGACACTGGAAATTAAGGCTCCTGTTCACTCACTGCAGCCATCTCGGACAGATGACGTCAATTATTTTAAATGTAAAATCATTGCGCTAAAAATAACGCTGTAAATTGCAAAAATAATTTTCAACGTTACTTTTCACGCCTTGTTTACAATTTTGCCAACACTGTGTATAGTGTCAACGCGGATCAGTCGAGTCACCTTAACCTAAGGAGCTTTAAGGATGTACCGTGAATCATCTCTTTCAAAAGTTAATTAAAAAATCAAAAAATTAAAATTGGACAAAACATGAATTCTAATAGACATATTATTTTAAAAACTTCACATCATTATTGTTCATCCTCAACAAATTAAATACAGACAAATCGTCTGCTTTATGTTTAGTTTGTTTCTGTACTCAATTTTCTGCAAAGCTTTGAAATAAATAGTCAATGTCGCACTGCAGGTAATTAAACTACAACTTGTCATGTCGATGATTACGGCTTGTCGAATTAAATCCGTTTGCATGCGAGGCTAAACAGGTCAGGTGACAATGCAGCCTAATTATAGACGGACGACGACTCACACCGACATGGGCGAACATGAAAAGCGAATTCGCGATTATAATTAGTGAGGAAAATACAAGCCTACGCTCGTCTATTATCGTAGTAGTAATCCTATCTCTACATTAATATCAGGATTTTGCCGTTTGCAATAAAAACAAGATCGCGTAAATCGCTCTTACAATTAGTATATACCTCAATAAGATAAGTATAATAACAAGTTATGAAGCAATGCAAGAGAAATTTATAAATACACTTGTTTTAGACATTTCAGTTACACAACAAATGCAATTTTTACTATTTAACAAATTCTTCAAAAAATAATTTTTAACTCTGTATATTTAAAAGTTATATTATAAAATATAAATATCTTTTAAAGATACTATGAAAAACATTAAAGAAATTAGAATATCATTAAAAAGTAATATAAATGTATGAAGAAATAAATTATCTTTATACTTTGAGTTCGTTATTTGAAAAGCTCTTACGTTTCGCAATCAACACTCCTTTAAAAACATTCCATGGCACGAAGTTCTTTTCATAAAAATCTATTTCAAAAAATTAATAAACTCACTTGATACTCCTTATAAGTATGAATATTCATTACGCGGAAGAGGTTAAATATAAACTAGATATATAATATTCAAAAATGTTTTCCCATCTTTATATCCTCAGTGGTGGTTCAAATGTATACTTTGCCAGATAACAAATATCACATCAGTGTACCTACAATTCCGCGTATTAATTATAAACTACAATATAAATGTAAAGTACATTGCACCCAACTTTGTGAATAATAATATGCATAATGAGATAGACACATAATGAGATAGTTATTACAATATTAATACTCTTGCATAATTTTGGGAAAGTTATGCGCCGCAGATATCGCTTAGCTCATCAAGTAGTTTTTGCGCATAGCAAAACTTTTAATTGCCTAAATTTGACCGTAATAATCATATCCCGATAACTGAAAGTAACATACTTGCAAGCAGACTTCATTATCGCCGTTGGGTTTTTTTAATCTTCTTGGGGCAAGAGAAATGCAAATGAAAGATCAAGTACTGTAAAGTATTACTTACATTTCTCTTGCAGTTAGTAAGACGAAGGTAATAGAATTTCCTTACGACCCGACCTTCTTTTGCTCTACTTTGCCGCAAGAACAATGACCATCGATTGTTAAGAGGTCCCTACCCATTCGAAGAAAAGATTACGATGCAGAAATTAACATATTAAATAAAGTCAAGTTGCTCGAACAATGGAGGGTTTGTGAATGCAAACAATAGATATCATCGAACAAAGTTCAATTCTGTTTCCATTAATGAGGGATATCAGAAATACCATCTCAGTTACGATAAAATTAAAAAATATTTTTGTTATTACTTTGACCAAGAAAGTGTATACGTGCTTCGTAGATATAAATATATGTGATTAAAATTAAGAAATAAAAATTATAAGTATGTACATACATTTTTTCACATAAAAATTCTTTCAAGCGTTCGATGTTAGCATTTAAATTTTTATATTTTAAATAATAAAGAAGTAATATTGATTTTCTTATCGATTTATTGTTCCATATCTGCTACGTGCCTCATGTAGTGTTACGTGTCTACACGTAAGAGTAAAGAATATTAAAAGAATATATAATAAAAAAAGAACTGTTAAAATAGATAAAGAGAAAAATAAACTTCGAAACAAATCTATTTTCATGTAGTAACGTCGCCCTCTATCCTACTTTTCTTATTAATTTTGTAAAGAAAACTTTGTGGAAGAAACACAAAAAGATCATTTATTAAAAGTATCCTTTACTCTACGAAAGATGTGAAATCATAATTTTAGACGCGTTATTCTCGGAACTGGACGTTGGATTATAGATTCTTTTCTCGGTTCGATCGTTTGAAAACTATTTTATTTCAAAGCGCGAACATACTTGCGCGAGATTTTGGTCGAGATTTTTCTCGAGACCGTTTTATTTTCGATGAAAGTGGCCAGCATGTCTATTCGTTCAATTGTAAGACAAATTGCGACGCGGACTCGAGCCAACCGAAAATCTTGCGATGATAAACGCAAGTTCGCGAAAACAGCGCTTTAAACTTCGCCGAGTTATCCGGAAGGTTACGAGGTTGCCTCAATGACGTAATCGAAGTTTCTCTATGGAGAAGCTAACATAGTCAATAAGATAAGCATTGGATGTGACAGTATACCGATAAAATTATTGCCGAAAAACTGCTGACCTATTTGCTAATCGTCACCGATGGTCCACATTATTTTGTTGAAAATATCGGAAGCGTTACAACAAGTTGCGACACACGAGAGAAAGAAAGAACACGTCACGTTACCGGAACGACGTTTCTCATCGCGAGACCAAGCTGAATAAATACGTCATATTTGTGAACAAAGTGCAAAGGCAAAGTCCTCGCGGTTCTGTAATAATTCTAAAAACCTGTCCGAAGTCGGAAGAGACGTGCTACACCACCAATTTCTCGTCGCATTCTAGGACAAAACACTTTCGAGTTGCAACTTGTACTACTTTCTCCGGATAATTAAGGATTTTGTAAAAAGCACGTTCCGTTATAGACGTCGATACACACGAGGCAAGCATAGCGACGCGATTCAGCCGTCGAATACGCCATTGCGCCATCGCGACACGATTCGAGATTTATTTATCATCCGCGCAAAACGTCGTCATTCATTTCCATCACAATGATACGTGTCACTCGCAGTTATGCGAATGTAAATATAACGCGAAGGAATTCGTTAGCAACCTCGTTTGCAATATTTTCGCTATTTGCGACGACGTACGCGACAGGTGTATCAGAAAAATTCTTGAAAGGTCCTAAGTACGGAATACGTCGTTCGTGTTAAGACACAACTCTTCTCGCAAACAGCGACAACAAGATACTTCATACGATATCCCGAGATTCGTTATCTAAATTATACACCAACATTTACTATCTCCGTGGATAGCTTTATTATCTCTTGCAATCGCGCGGGCGTAAAATAAGAACCTCAATAATCGTAACGAAGGACGTTTTGTTCGTGACATTTCCAATTGTGGCGGAAAACATGATTGATATAAGATATTCTACTTAAAAAACAACGACAATTATTTAATCGCGTTCAATTTATAGCGGCAAGTGTAACTTGGTACTGATCTTGGAAATAAAAACAACTCAATATAAATAATCTCAATGTAGAAATAAAGCAAAAGAGACTTATGATTACTGCCCTTCTTGCGTTTCTTGATTTCCATAATTTTTCTTTAATTGCTTGTTTATCACGTCGTTTATCACGGAAAGAAACAACATGCATGCAATCGTTTAAGTAGATTGAACAAATTAAACAACTGAGTACCAGGTTTTTTTAGTAAATAATGCTCGTATATTATGCATTTTGCAACTATCCGTTTAATAAAAATCAGGATGCTTTCTTCGATAAAAGAATAAAACGGAAGACGGACACAAGTGAAAAGGTAAGATTTTTTTTTCAGAGCAGCAACTCTCGGGGCTGTCCTGTAAACGCGCGGGTGCTCGTATATGTCGCGGATGCGCCGAATACAACGGCGGGACGCGAAAAAGCTCGCGGATCATGTCATTTGCAAAGGCTTTGTAGCCTTTTGTTCTACGAGCTGGCAAATCTCGGCGCAGCTTTGACGCTGCAATCTGGCTGGAAAGCGGCGCGGCGTAGCGCGTTTCCATGCACGCGGAATTCACGGCAGCGAAAACACGGAAAAATGCCAGCCGCGCGTCATGTTGGAGAAATGCGGGTGAAAAACAGCAGTGTAACTGCAGTTGCGAGAGAGCTTAATTTCAAACGGTTTTTTATCCTAACGGAATTTTCATTTTGGGAAATTATTCGCGAAGATATTTTTAATTTTGCACACATCACGGGGGGAGAAAATCCATTAAAATCGCGAGATTTGAAAGTGTCAACTTAATTACACCCTCGATTACACCGTTCATATAAGATCTTACTTTTTATGTTTTCCTTAATCACATCATATACGCTTTTAACTGTAAAGTGGTATAAATTAAAATGCGTAACGTTTAGGTGTGTTTTTCCTAAAGAACCCTGCGAAGGCCGAGAGAATGGTGACCGCGATGGACCTGGGAACAAACGCGTTCGTTATTTTCGATTTTGGAACGGTCTAGTCGACCGAAACGACAAATCTGACGGATTCGGCGACGCCCGTGCCAACGGCCGTTCTATAATTCTTTTTATCCGCCAGCCATTGTCCTTTATCCAGCGGCAAAAATCTCTATGTCCACACTGAAAAAGGGAGTTGTCGCGCGCGTCCGGAATTCTCCGTTTTTACAGACAGGAAATATCCTTCGGGAGACGCGAGCATGTGACGTGCCGTTTCGTGCAAACGAAGGTACGCGACCTTTTTTATATAGACGGGATCGTGGTATTCCCGCGTGAAAAGCGCTGATTCTGCAGTTGTGACAATTGTTAATACCGAGATAATCACTAAAACTTGTATTCTTTGGTCTTCCCTGATACACAGACCGTCAGAGAATCATCTCGCTCCTTCATTTAGCTCTTGTTAGTAGCTTTAAATAAGGAAAAACTAGCTTAGAACATTATTTATTCTAAGCTAATTTATCAGATTTTTTCTGATTTTATCGAGGCAACCGTAACATTGATAAAGAACGCTTTGACAACCGTTAATATTCCGAATAAGCGCGATTAAGTACGCGTATGAAAATTGTGTGTAATTATTAAACGCACGAGATATGTACTTATCGCGTTTTCTCGACGAGATCAATTCGCGGTGCATGTCAACGTTATTGTTTTGCCACTCTTGACGCTTTTACTAGAAAAACTGGGTTTAAACAAAAAGCACGTATCTCACCGCTTCCGGTTCGTTTCGAACTTTATCGCAAACAGAAACGATACAGGTGAGTTACGCAACACCTACTTTGACCTTTGACGTCAAAAGGCGCAGAAAAACGTAGATCTTCCGAGCAAAGTATCTTGCAATTATTTCAATGTTTTTTTTAAGTTTTATTTAAGTTAAAAATGTACTAGATTTCGCTACGTATAAATGCATAACGTAATATTTTTGGTAAAATTCAGTAAAATCGTCCGTCAAAATTAAATGTATGGGGCATCTTTATTTTAAACAAATATGTATGTTACGTTAAATAAGTTAATTTTAGCAATTTAATATTTCATAATACAGCTACGCGTTGATTTTTATATTTAAAATAAAATAGTAAGCACGAACCACCTTTTTCATCTCCGAGCTATATTTTACGTTTACCTTCAAAACTAAATATGATGACTGTACGACTTAAAAAGAGTCAGTCGTCAAGCAGTGACGTCAAAGCTAAGCTGTATGACAGATAAGCTAGGTTTACATACTAATGTAAAGTTTAAAACCAAGGTACAAAACCGTAGCGACGAGCCATGGAAAAACAGATTTGCTTTCAGCGTCCATTACACAAATTCGACGAAGCATGGCTGCGCTTTGAAACAAATAGCTACTAAAGGAATTGCTTTATGAAGATAATTATATTCGTCGATTCGTCATCCCCTCGCAGCTTCCAGTACCGTCTGGATAACTTTTTAATTAAACTTGTTGAAATTCAATCGTCTAATTATACTACATTTATATTCCAAATCGCCTCGAATGAGATTATATAGCTGTTACGCAAACTATTTTTTTTTACATATTTATATTACCGCCGTATTGAATAATTTTAGCGCAGTTTAATAACGTTTTCAACAACAGCGACGCAAGAGATCAGCAATTATAAATATTAATCTGACGTTGAAAACGGCGAAGCTGACTTCGCACGTTTTTCACGTTTAATTTCGAGTTATTGATTTCACGCTCCAATTTTCGTCGAGCATCAGCTGACTCGGCAAACATTTAGATTAAACCACCTGCCTGTGTGATTATACAAAATTTTTACATATTCATGTGGCCAGTTTTTCCTAATAAATTTTCTGAATCTTACAAAGACGTTCTTTTTTTCCTAAAACAAGATCTTACTCCCACTCATTTTTTGTACCTCGCGCGTAATTAACAACTATTGTTGTTGTATCGTTAAAAATATTATGTACTGTGCATAGCTGTATTTTTCCATAAGGAATATATTTTTTAAATGTAAAATGGCTGTCATGAAATTCGCTATAAATGTATAATATAAACATGATAAAAATTGTAAAAAAATGTATGGATTTGTTTTTACGCGAAATGCTCTTTTTAAACCCACCCTCAGAGCCTCAAGTGTCGTTCGTCATCTAGTCGAGTCATTCAATTGACCAAAAATGTAAGTTCAGTCGCATTGTAACACATCTTCATTGTTTTATCTAGTTTCTACATTGCGAAACTACTCTCGAGATCGTGCCCGAAATTCGGTTTCTATTCAATACGCGTATATTTAATCACGAATTTATGCGACGACGCTGTGTAAAGCCCGGATATGCGTTTACATAGGCTACAAGGGCCGTCACTTACCACTGCTTACAGTGACGACGAACCGGTGAACGTTCGATATTAGCATTTCAGATACGGTTAAGTGCACGGGATAACAATCTACGGAGTGTGCGCTCCTTCCGTAACAAACATTTAATTCAAGTACACAGTATGTAAATCTCCAAGATTGCACGTTATTAAATAAATCCCTTGCGAGCCGAAAACACACCGGTAGAGTAGCGCGATGATCTGCAATTGCACTCGACATTTAACGTTCAATTTTTTTGTCCGTTCAAGAATAAGAGTCGCGCAATAAATTTCTCTTGGCGCCTTGTATATCCTCGATATATTTGCAATATTATATAACTCGGCGGGATTGCAATTTTCTTGTCGAGTGAAAGTCGGAAACGCGCGAAATAGAATGATACAGTAAAAATGGATATAGGAAGAAAGATAATTCAATCAATTTCAATTTAACTTTCCCGTATAAAGGATTAAATTACTGACCCAATTACAAGGCAATTTAACGGCGAAAATTAAATCGTATCCAACCCACATCTCTTAATTGACAAATTAAATTTCCGAATAATTGATAGAACTCTTCCGAGTCAGTATTTCCTGTCACTTTACCTAATAAATTTAATTTCAGAGACATCAATTACCGAGACATTCTCTGATATTGTTGGTCAAATATTGAAATAACGGCAGCTGAATAAAACACCCGCTAAAATTTTCCCATGTTTTACGGTATATCTTATATCCTCTATGAAAATGTATAATCACGATTATTCGTGGAGCCTCGAACAAGAGGGAGAATAATTAAAGCCTCAGAACCTTTAATTATACTTAAATCTGAGTTTCAGTCGCGATCGTATTGCAATTTAGCTTACATTTCACAATTGCGATCGAATGACATCAACACAATAATTGACATATTATTCGTGCAAATTTAGTGTTTAAAATTTTTCACAAGGCGGAAGCTTTCTTTCCTTAGAAGCACGTTGCCGAAAACGCACGAGAACTTGTTTTCCGTTGCCCGGTTGACCTAGAAAAACAAACCGCGCGATACGACGCAAAATCGGAGCGCGCATTGTCCCTATCACACTTTTATTTTACCACACAATCACATCGAGCAGCCAATATAACGATCCCTGTCATAGATCATTTCGCACGCGCAGCTAACTCAGCAGAATATTAACATAACGCTAACACGTATATCTTTAATGCACATAAATTTAACGGTCACAGTTTATGACACTAATAAATAATTTATAGCTGCAGAAACAGAAATAACTTCGCAGAGAAACTGATGTCCCTAGCTATTGAAATTTTTATTCAAATGTGAGAATATTGACGACTTTGCTAAGAGTAATACCTCGGCAGAACAAAAGCTAAGAATTACGAAGGATTTAATGCAACAATTCGTTACAGATAATGCTAAATAAATGAAATAAATTTAACAGATATTTTCTGAATTATGTGAAAAATATTTTAAATGGAAATTGAAAGAACGAAGAAATCGCACTCTACGCGATATCGAGAGGTAATGTAAAACTAATATCGTACGACAATAAACAATGATCGTGAGTCAGGTCTATTTCCTATCCTTACAATTAGATCTGCCATATTCGAATAATCGAGAGCACGACTTCGCCTTCCCATTCCATCCTGTTCATACCTGCGGGACGGGAGCAAGTATCCTCGGCCTTGGTACACGTGACAATCTTCCTAACGCAGCGACGAGTCTGTCACTCTCTCAATGCGAACGAAGCGGGTAAAGTGAAAAACACGAGGCGTCACGACGCACTTCGACGTGTAATAACGTATCGTCGGGCAGCAGCGATCACAGAGAAATTCCGATTGCTCGATCACGCGTAGTTAAATGTCCGTCGTTAAATGTAGCACGTCCGAGCACGAGGTACCGTCCTACCTCAACGGCGTGCGATACGAAAGTGGGAGACCGAGAGATGCGACGCAACGTTACTGCCGGCCGGCAGGCTGCGCGCGTCTGTGTGAGTACGTTACGATTGACTCCGGCCGACAGAAACGCCGCTGATTGGTCCAAAACTCGGGGGCGCAGCGTGACCAAGGCAGTTGTTCTTTGGAGCACAGTTAACCGACTGTAACTTGCGGGCATTGTGTAAATAAACACACGTACGTCTGTTGTGCCGTTACAACAAAGCCCGATAATATTGGCTTGTCTTTTATCTAATCTAAATTCGTCACCTTCCAAAATTCTCTAATCTAAATCTGTCGTTTGGAAATTCCCCTCGATATTTTCAGCTGTCAAACCTGCATCTAGGTGTAAAGAGTATTAAATAAAAGTTCACCGAACTATTTTCTCCACTCGTATTTTTCCGTTTAATTATCCTGCCGTTGAATGTAATGATTTTTAGTAAGAATTTCGACGGAATCTGTGCGGAATTCAATTTGGAAATACGAATTCCTATAGTTTCCATTGATTTACATTAGTACCATCGAAACGCTATGTATATTAAGCACGCGATTTAATACAAAGGGCACATATGTGCTCGAGAACGCGCAGCCGACGTTATTTTGTGTGCGACCTTGTTTCGGGATTTATCGCTTTCACTTTGCTGCGTGCCATCCGCACGCAATTTCTACTGTAGAGCTAGTCTCTTCTCATACAGAGACCGCATGTCACAAATTGCATACAAATTATTTATTATATATTATACATTTCTAAAAAAAGTTATTGCCAGTAAAAATGCCCGTGATTCACACCATCGAAATATATAAAAGTACAAATAAATTGAGGTAAAATATAATTAATTTATCTACAGACATTGCTTTCAGAATTTAAATGATCTCTACATTTTGTTGGCACCAGGAAAGAAGAATCGATTGAAAAAATAACAGAAAAATACATTAGTTGATATTCGCGTTGTGCACAACAATTTTTTATCTTTCCAAATAATCGTCGAATTTATTTTATTTTAGTTTCACAAGGTTGCAACATTTATTTCCTTAACCACAGGAATATAATAATTATGAGAAACTGACGTTGCATAAAAAAAAAGAAGAGCAATGTAGGAAATAAATTCTTATTGAGAAATTTATCAAAAAATTTATCGCTAATAAAAATATTAATTATTAATAAGATGGTAAAAACAGAGAAATTGAAAATATGATTAACTCGAAAAAGATTGCAATAAAAAAAGTATCTTCAAGATTTCAAATAATCTCTACATTTCGACAACGTCATACCATAAAGCTTTCTAGTAGTAAATTGGCTAACCATATTTCATGGAAAGAGGAAAGAAACGATACGAAAACAGACTTTCACATTGTTGTATACCGTTCGCATTCATCTTCTTTATACGCATAAGTTTTTTTGGAAAGTCCTTGACTTATTCTCTCTCTCTTTTCTTTCCGTAATATATATCTTCTTGTCGTATATTTCGTTTCTTATATATAAAAGAACAGGTTTTTTTACGTGGAACTGAGATTGTTCAAAATAGAAACTCGGAAAGATTGTAACAAATTAAGATAATATTATCTCACGAAATAATTCGCGAGATATGGATGTACAATAGCTTGCATTCAATTGTGCTGGAAATCATAACAGAGCCTCTATTCAATCTGAGTATTGATATTCAACGTAATAATGTAATTTTTAGATCTTTTTGTGGACGCAATTTGCGTCATGTCAAATATCGTTACATAAATATGCGATATTGATGTAACTTGGTCAGAACCAAGAAACTGTTTTCGAATATTCTGAATAGCTATCGCGAGCATAATTAAATAAGAAAAATCAATTATCGTAAAAAATGAGAGAGAGAGAGAGAGAGAGAGAGAGAGAGAGAGAGAGAGAGAGAGAGAGAGAGAGAGAGACTTTTCCTGGGTAAAAGCAAAATCTGCGGTTTGTTTTAAAAAGATTATTTGCTCGAAATCGATTTTGTCCAAGAATTGTGTAACGATAGCAATTTTTGTAACGCGTCGCTCATGCAAAGGTACAGGTTCTTTTCCATTATTTGCTTATCTTATCGTAGCTTCTCGTCCTTTTCTTTGTCTTCCTGTTCTTTGCTAACTTGCACTAAAGATAAGGTCATTTTACTACCGAACAATGCAAGGGAGAAGATTGTTTGCTCGGTACACTACAGTGTATACCCACGGGAATGGCGAATTTCCTAATGAGGCACGAAACATGCGCTTTAAGCACAACGCTTGATACAGAAAATAGAAAAACGATATTGAATGATTTTTTTTAAATCGTAAGAAAAAGTAATATGTAAGTCGTTTATTTTATTGCTTTCTGATGCTTTTTCTATATTGATATTATACTTAGACATTAAATATGTATAAAATTTTTATACTTAACGTTAAATAATTTTCTCGCCTGATATGTAGCGGTTGTTATTCGAATAATAATAAATAGAGGTCCTCACACGTTTAACACATTATTATTTCGAATAATTGAAATTCCAAAGTTTTCAACTATCTTCTGTTTGCGTTTGATGAATATACCACTGACCAGCAAACAACCTGTTCCTTGCGTATTCTCACGGTTGTTACCGCAAACATCTAATGCAGCAAGAAATTTCTCAACAAGTCAACTTAACGATTTCTGAACTTGAACTATTCAACGGGAGATATTCGCGGTGGCGTCCTAGAATTCCTTAAAAGGTGGGTCTCGTAAGAAGTCACGAACAGTTATGAGAAATGTAATCATCGATCAAACCAAACTGTTAGACGCATTTATACGTCTAAATTATTTAGCAAGCAGAGCAACATGAAACATTAATGTAGACATCTATAAGAATAAAATCATTTCGATTGCAGAGTGGCAGCTCCTCTTCGTAGAAAATAAATATTTTATATCTATGACGAACATTTAATATTGAGGGAATTATGCAGAGATATATTTACAATTATTGTTTTAAAAAGGACAGAAAAGGAAATGGAATGGAACGAATGTCGTAAGATATTAACCCGTTTATCAAACTTTAACTTCGCCAACAGAGAGTTTATCGCAAATTACAAAACTCCACTCACGCTTGATGTTTATGTCTCATAATCCTCACTTTAGAAGATTAATTATTAATGAATAACTGAGAGGTTTTCGACATCACTAAGTTGAAATACTAAACAAACAAGCCAATCAAGACGATATCAACAATTTAAGGCTGCGATAACTTAAGGCAGAAGTCGTAATATCGGAGGCGGGTCGGACTTTGACTAATCGATCCTATACTGTGACTCGAGAGCCTCGGCAAACTGACATCCGTGTGTGTCATTACAACAGAAATGGGAGCTTAAACAATATTCTTTTATAAAGAGTACTTGTGTTTTAACTCGAGTTTCGACCACCCGCAGAAAGTATAACAGTAAACGTCGATACGAATGAAACTCTACCCCTGACGAGGAGGCCAATGGTATTCTTAGCGGCTTACAATTCGAAGAAATATCTTCGAGAATGACTGAGTCAACTCACGCCGCTAAGCGTGATTAACGTTCTTAATTAATATCTCGTCGAATTCATAATGCCATTATTATTTTAATAACCGGCCATGATATTTCAATATTGTCATCAATCCGTGAAAGAGCTTAATCAAAATAAAGATTTAATTACTAGCTCGTTTTCGACTGTTTAATATTAAAATTTAAAATTTTAGATGAATAAATTTCCAATTAAATTTCAATTCCGGCATCAAATCTATATCAATCTTCCCATCGCTAAAATAGTTTCATATCTGTCGCATATTTTATCGTTTATTAACAGAACGTTTGCTTTAGCCGTAACTACCTTGAAAGAATTGCAAGAGGAGCAATCGGGCAAGAAAACGTAAAAGAAAACGCCATATCTCGACCGATATCGACGCCATATATTAATGTCGACAGTATCGACATTTCTATCGATCCGAAGGCATAACAATTAAATTGTGGAAGACAACAGATATCAAAAGATTCTCTTACGACGTGGTAATCCAAGAGATAGTACAAAAACAGCCACACGCGAAGAGGTAATCGACACGGTTATGATAAGATAGTATCATTCGAGATTGTGCATACCAGCCGCCTTTTAAAATCGAGGATATTTCTTCAAATACCCTCTAATCCGACACTCGCTCGATATTCTTTCGATAAAGTGTGTGCGATAGGTATCTTATTAAAAAAAAATAGCTCTTGTGCGAACGTGCTTTGTTAGTCCGGTTTAACTTAATCTCTTTTGAAGATTACGGAAAATATTACATTTAATCAATTCCGAAATAAAATTAATGAGGTTGGTTCAACGATAAAAATGAAATATCGAGTCGACCCATATCTTGCTAGGATTTCAATAATAGGAAATATTGAAGCGAATGCCGACACAAAAGGTTCGTATCAAATGTCCTGCTCATTTTCAATTCGCTACCGAACATATTCCCGAGGTAATATTTCCATAGGTATTCCCGCTTGCGGCGGGTATTTATTTGCGCGGGGGCCTTCGGCGCGTGGACTGCGTAAAATGGGGTGGAATTTACATGAAATATCTCGCTATTCCGTCGACTGCCGGCCCTTTTTTCCGCGTTATCTCCCCGCTACCGCGTGCATCTATTTCGCGTCAATGATATCGTCGACAGCGAAAAATGGCGAGAGAGAGAGAGAGAGAGAAAGAGACCCGAAAGAGGAAGGGAGAGAAAGAGGGAAAGTCATTACGTACGCTGGCGTTCCGATAAACGCGCGTGTATAATTGCATTACGCAGCGCACTAACATCGTTGCACCTTTGATAAATTATGCTGCAGC